TGAGGCTTAAACTGACCCATTCACACAAGCACAGGCCAGCTTTTCTGGATTAGCTGATCCAGGCCAGAGTCCTGCAGGTGGTTATCTCAATTCTGGTTTTGTTGCTCTGGAGGAATTCATTCTGCCTGAGGAATAATTTGTTCCCTAGGAGAGGACAGCGTTGGTGGTGGGGTGGGCTGTGTTACTCCCAACATAAGGTCATTGCGTCTGCTTGGAGGGAAGGTCATCTCATTATGGGGGGGATGTGAGGCTTTGTTTTTCCTGGAACCTGGGGTGACTGGAGGTTTGGGGACTTCTAGGTACTGCTCCTGGGAGGTCTGCTGGGTGTCCCTACTGACCCTGGAGATTATTCTTGATGTTCTCAGCCTCAAAGGGGATGAGAGCACAGTAGGTAAACGCAGGGTTAATAACCCAGCAACAGACTCTCCAAGGGTGATGAGCATGCCATGCTGTATGGTGCGCTGAGCAGGGGTCTGACCAGTTTCAGGGTAAGAAGCGGGATTTCTTAAAACTTGACTCTCCTGACATTTCACTCATCTTCACTTTTACCTGAGTAACAAATAGTCATCATTTTCCTTGAAGTGTGGTTGGGCTTTTCGGGTTTTTTTTTTTAAACTCTCCAGACATTAAGTACGTAATATTTTTCCCTACTAGAAACTGTTTTTCTGAACACGAATAAGGTGTTCCACTATATCCTGAGACCAGCTAGCAGGAGCTGGTGCCGAATCTCACAAGTTAAAAAGGCTGTCCTGTAAGTCTGCCCACACTTCAGATGCCACTGGCAATCCAGAGCAATGGCCTTCACTTGCCTAATGCATTGCCTAAGACACATTTGTGTGTAGGATTGTCTTGGGGGGCACTGGTGTTTTCAACCAAGACATCCGAGGTGAGGGGTGTGTGTGTGTGTGTGTGTGTGTGTGTGTGTGTGTGTCCAACACTTGCAAGTCAGCTCTCAGGGCTGGGCGTTTGCATGCTGCCTGCTGGGCTGCAGAAGCAATGGGGAAGCCTGGCTTCCAATTGGGCTGTTAATGTCACCTTCACTTCTGCTCTTCACAGCCCTCCCCAGCTCAACACTTCTCTGCAGCTGACACTCTTTGCTGGCACTTTGCTTGGAGTTCTAAAACTCTGTTTACCAGTTCTGAAACTGTTTACCTAAAACTCCATGCCTGACTCAGGTGCCCATGTGCTTTCTGGAAGCTGGACTGTAATGCTCAGAGTACACCAAGGCCATAGGATCAATCTTCAGTACTAGAAAATCCACCAAAAAATAAAGTTTCTAAACTTTTCTTTCGAGACAGGGTCTCATTCTGTAGTCCACAGTGGCCTGAAGCACTATGTCGCCTGGCTGGTACAGCACTCACAGCCTCTCGAGTGCTGGGATTACCTGTATATGCCACCATGCCTAACTTATCTTTTTATTGTGAACTAATTTTAGACTTAAACAACAATTACAAAAACAGTAGCGCAGCCTTCCCTAATCCTGGGATCTTATATAACCACAACCCAGTTGCTGGACCCCAGATTATTACCATTTTGCACTATTTCCTGGGCCTTGGGAAAACTTCAAGTTTTCTCCTCATGTCATGAAGTTCTCACAGTGCATTTGGCTATCACATTTCCTGTCTTCTCTAAACTGACAGCTCATTCTTTTCCTTATAACCTTGTGCTTCTGAGGAGTACCAGTCAGTTACTCTGCCAGCTGTTCTTCAGTTTGGGTTTGTCTGATGCTTCTGCAGTACTGGGCTGGGGTTGTGTCGCTGGCAAGCACAACAGAGAGGTGAGGCCTGTACTTCAGGAGAGCACCTCACAGGTCCTGGGAGTCAGCCTGTCTCACTCGTGGTGACCTGACCTGATTTCTCCACTTTACAATTACTATGTCTTCCTTTGTAGTTAGTAAGTGTAAAAGGCAGAATAACTGCCTCCAAGATGTGCATGTCCTGACCCATGCAATGTGTTAGGTCAGTGGCAAAAGGTAGTTAAAGCCACAGATCTAATGATCTCATGCCAGGATGCTAACTTTAAAACAAGGAGTTTCCTGCATTATCCAGCTGAGCCTGACATAGTCACAAAAGTTCTTAAACATGGGAGACAACAGCATGGCTTTGAGGATGGAGAAGGGGCTCTGTGCCAAAGCATCCAAGGGCCTTTGGAAGCAGGGAAAGCCTGCTTGTTTAGGTAGCAAAAATAAAAATAACCATAAACCGAATGACTTACAAACAACAAATATTGCTCATGGTTCTGGAAGCTGGCAGTTAAGGACTAAGATGTTGGTGGACAGTGTTTGGGAAACCATAGAAGGTGCACCGCTGTGTCCTCACATGTAGGATACGGCAACAAGTCTCTTGAGGGTCTCTTTTATCAGGGCACTGACCATTTTCCTAAACTCCATTCCTACCCCTATCACTTTGGGGGTGGGACTCAACATATAAATTCAGGGAATACAGGAACATTCAGATAGCAGCACCAACTGAAGAAATAAATGAATTTATTGAAGGAGCCCTTTCATCCCCTCTGTAGACAAGACTCAGGCATCGAACAGGAAGCACAGCTCAAGTAAGGTGGAGTATCAGAGTTTTCAGGGCCCACTGGGCTCTACAGGAAGAGCTAGGCATGCTGCCATACCACAGTAATCTAGTCTCCTGCTTCTTCCTGGGGTCTCCCTGGACGCTGGGTTGGTCAGCAGGAAGAAGCAGTGTAACAAACGCCCAGACTGCTCACCCCATCTGCTCAGGTTACCAGCTGTGCCCATTCCAAGTCCCTTCCAGTAATTCTTTGACCTCATTATAGGCATTTCACAACTATAAACATATTCATATTTATGTGGTATTTATGAAAATAGCAGCACTGACAAAGGCTAGCACACTTCAAAGACTTCCCTGTCCCTGGCTTGAGTACATACGCTGGTTCTGAAAATGGGATGAAAGTGCAATCTAATTGTGGTTAATAGTCAGGTGTGCTTAGAAGCATCCATCCCGACAGCCTCCTCCAGAAAGCCAGCGCCACAAGCCTGCGCCCAGGGGGGCAGGTTTCCTATTCCTTGCCCACTTCAGTTGAATGGGTCACCATTCAGCTGCTGCTGCCTTTTATCCCTCTCTCATGACCATATTCTGACAGCTCAAGCTAGCTCCGTCCTACAAGAAGCAGAAGGTAAACAAAGCACACAGGGAAGGGCCCTGCTGCCCCAGGCCACTTCTGCCTTCCCAGCACTGGGGTCAGCCAAGCTGCCACGTGGCTCGTTCCAGAATTCGGGCCCAAAATTTGATACTTTATAGCTTACTCAGGCTCTGGCAAGGCAAAAATACTGCTCACCGCGCTGGTAGATATCGCAGTTTAATCTTTTAATCGCACGGATCGGACTGTGCCCTCACAGGTACTTAGTACATGCTTGCTGGGTGATACTTCTTATATTTTGGAAAAGCCAGGAAGCTTAAATTCTAGTCCTTTTTCCACAACTAAAAAAAGGAGCAACTGCAACATCCCTCAGTCCTGAATCTGTATGATTTTTTAACGCCTCAGTGACAGCTGAAGAACCGGATTTTTTTTTTTTTCCGTAATGCCGATCGAAATCGGGACCCTGCACTTGCCAGGCAGGGCTTTGCGCCGCTATCTCCGCGGCCCCGAGAACTTGATTTTACGTAATTTTCACCAAGTTTAAAATTACCACGCACTGGCAGCTGCCTCGCCCTTGACAATGCAGACAATGTAGTTCGGCCTTGAGCAGTTCACAAGTATGCTCAAAGCTCCTTTCACATTTATTTATTGTGATGTCTCACGCTTGTAATCCCAGCACTGTGGAAGCTGAGGCAGGAAGATTGCAGCAAGTCTGAGGCCAGCCGGGGCTACGCAGTGAGTCCAGGCCACTGTGAACTGCACTGCCCAGACCATGTCTCAAAAAGAAATAAAAAAGCTATTTAAAAAAGCAAGACACAGGGGGGCTGGTGAGATGGCTCAGTGGTCTAAAGCACCTACTTAGAACAAGCTTAACAAAGCAGAGGGACCGCGGTTCAATCCCCCAGCACCACATGCCAGCCAGCCCCGCCCCCTGGTGGGCTGAGCTGGCCACACATACACATACACACACACACAAATAAATAAATCAATTTTTAAAAAAGTATATAAAAAAAGCAAGACACATTCACGGCTCCGACCGTGGGGCACCGGGAGGACGCCCACAGGCCCGCGCTCCCCGGGCACCGCCCGCCACGCGGTCCTCAAGCCTGGCCCGAGACCCCGCGGCGCTCGCCCGCCAGCCCGCGCAGACACGGCGAAAGCCGGGTCGCAGGACCAAAGGGAGGTTTTCCGGCACCACTCGGCGGGGCACCGCTCCCAGACGCCGGCCAGGCGCGGACCACGAGGCGCGACTACCGCGCGGAACTAAGGGCACCCCCCCACACACACTAGCAGCACTCACGCAGCGAGCGCAAGCCGGGAGAGGGCCGCCTCAGGACTGGCCGGCGGCCGAGGGCGCACGCGCGCTAGCATTCGCCGGGCTTTCCCTCGCGACGACGCCCGCCTCCACGCCCAGCGCCAAATAAGTCGCAGAGTCCGTCCGGCTCGTGCGTGCACGGCCCCGCCGCCTGCGTCACTAGGAAGCGCGCGCCCGAGCCGCTGCCGCCGCCGCCGCCGCCGCCGCCGAATCCCCAACAAGGAGCGA